GTTGCACTTTTATCCACAACTTTCTTTCCGCCGTCATCGTAGGTCACTCTAAATGCAAAGTGGTTCCATACAGCAGACCTATAAAGTGTTGCTGGCGCGTCTTCCAACTCCTGTTCTTTCCCACTCGCCATACCCACACAGTTCTCCACAACAACTGATTTTTTTCTGCTACACCCGGCTAAGCTTCTTCACTTCTTCTTCTTGTTTACTACTGGTGGTTGGCTTTGGTCGCAGTACCGCCACCTTCTGCTCTGGAGTGTAATCGCTTCGCCTATGAGAAAATGGAGCAGCCCATGAACCGAACGCAACACACGCAAACCGAACCGAGACAGTCGAACCGAACGGTTCTGACGGTTTTCAAAAACCGTTCCATCCCTAATATGTATGTATGTATGTATGTATGTTTGTTGTAATATGACAAGATTTGGGGAAGTTTAGGGGTATGAATACCTTTGAAAGCAAGTGTAGATGATCAATAGTGTTTAGGCCCTGTGGGCATGCTGACCTATCAAGGCCAGTATTACCATATTTATCTAAGCAGGTGATGGAAATTAAAATCGTTACCTATATATATTTTATCAATGGAAGGAAGCATGAAGTTTTCCATAATTTCCTCGTAGACAATTCTGCCTAACTTCAGACTTGATAAAACACCTTGGTTGAAAATCTGTGGATGGCAGCAGATCCCCTAAAGTTGTCACTGGAAACTTTACACCTGAGGTTCCTTTCTTGGAAGTTGCATTTGGATGCCCAAATATAGTATTTTAGTGATGGGCTGATCTGTAGAAAACATTATTCCAGAGGAATGGGCTTTTCTCCAGCTTCCTTCTAGGAAACTTAATTCTGCCATCTTGTTTTTCATTATAGAGCAAAGGTTTACTGTAGTTCCAGCACACCCCATGAATGTTAAACCTGGACAATCTTTGTTTTGTATCGTTTATAGACTTAATTTAGTGACATTCTGCTGATTCTGTCCCTTAGTAGACTAATTAGGCGTCACGGTTTACTTTTTAAAGGTTTCCACCTTTAGGATGATGACTTTTTAGATTGAATGTCAGTTTTTGTCCTCTTGAAGTTTAAGACTGATCCAAACTGAGGAATGTAACATTCATGGTCCAGGTTTTGGATGCAAAGCTTTGATTCTGGCCATAGAATGTGAATTGCAAAATTTCCCCAAACTCTTGAGTGGTTTGGCTTCACAATCCTCTCATTTTGTACCTCCCTGCAAACCCTATACATTTTTCTTTTCACTCCATTTGTTTCTTCAAACCGGTTCTGTATAGTTTTTTTCTTCTTCCACTAAACTTTGATTAATATGCTGTGCATACAGCCCTCAGTGACAGCCAGGTTATTCTGTAAATGATAAACTGGCTTACGTAATCCTTTTCTAGTCTGACTAGGCTAAGCTGCTCAAAGCTTTCACACTTATGAGTCACATTCACTCATCTGCATGGATTAATGCTCACACATTCATACGCTTGTATGATATGGTTGGCCACTTGTGGTTAACATATTGCTCAAGGACACTTTGATGCAATGTCAGAAAATCCATACCCTAACCCTCAGTCATCTTCTCCTATCAGTAGCCGTTTTTCATAACTGTGTGGATTACTTTAAAAGTATCTATTTCAAAATCTTATGCTTTGGTATTCATGTACTGTTAGAAATGTCCATAAATTTGCTCCAAATGCAAATATTGTCACGATGCTGATGAATTAACTAAGAAATATACCAGTAGTAATAGTATAAAAATATTGTAACATTTACTAGCAGTAATATTCTGATTTTATTTTTAGATTAATGCAGCTGCATAATAATTTTTTCCGATAGTAATAAGTTTTAGATTTTACATCACCTGTTTGTTTTTGCACATTAACATTTGAACATCTGATAGTACATCAATATTTGAATAAAAAAAATAAACAATACAGGTCCAAGAATAGAGCCCTGTGGCATTTCTGCAACATAAGAACATTTAAACCCACCGATTAAAGAAAATGTGATCCGTTTTCTTTATTAGTTTCCAAATGTTAGCTTCTTAAAGAAAATCTACGTATCAGTTTCGATATCAGAAACTTATTACCAGTGTTGGTCATTAGTCTCATCTATTTTCCTTTTCTTGGACCAGCTTTCTGTTTTTTCTTTTTTGTTATTTTGCACCCTCTTTATTTTATCCCCTCTGCAGCCTTAAAGCCAATTTGCATTTTGCAGGCATTTCTATAAGCAGAGTACAAACAGCCTGCTAGTCAAATTCACCCCACCGTAGTGCTTTGCCTGTGGTATCTGTTTGAGTTGAATTCAGCTAATGTAACCTGTTCTCACACCTGCACTAATAAGCACAAACGGACACAAACATGAGGTATCTGTTGGTTAACTCCTCCAATCCTGTGGAAAATGTTTGCAGTCACCTTATTAAATCTTAATGAGTAGCTGAATAATTAAAAATAAAGCTGCGTAATGTCACCTGGAGTTGTGTTTTTTTTTTTTTATATATATATATAATTTTTGACAGAAAAAGTAAAGCAGTGATGTCTTAATTCTGAATTCTGCTAGGTGCAAGTCATTGTAGGGTGGAAGTGGTTTAAATCTGCACTGTGCAATGCTGTTTGGTTGGATTTCAGCTTTTATATGAGGCTAAACCGCACTGTCGTGGCTCTAGAGAGGATGGGCTGTCATTGATCTGCCCTGTTTGACTCTACTGGGGTTTCAGGATTGGAATCTTAGTTTGTAGGGTTGTAGTTTATCTACATCTGACCCAGGCTGGAACGAAGTCTCACATGTGTTTCAAATGCTTAGTCAGCTCTGGTTCTAATGCTTAAACCAGTTATTGCAGTTAGATCACAAAGCTATTTTAAAGTCTTGCTGTTTAGCTACACATTTTGTAGGCAATTGATTAATTTCTCAGTTTCTAATAATAAAAAAAAATCATGTGAAAAAGATAAGCAGCCCCCGTTAAATATTCAGGCCTTTCTTAGGAAAGGCAAAGTATTCCATGTCTAATCTCATATCTCTTTTAATGTCAGAAAGATAAATAGCTCTAATTTTAGCTCCCTGCATGTCAGGCCTGTTTGAAGTTACTCCCTCTGCATCTCTTTGACATTAACACCCAGGGGTTTCCATTTGGTAATTATCAGCCAGTTCTTGGTTGATTTGCTGGCATGATGCCCCGCTCCGCTTCCTTTTGGACATCTACTACCCCAATCCCACCATAAAGCCCTACAGATTCCAGATGACCTGCATCCACCTGCCTTGTCCCCTGTGCAGTCCACTTCGATCCAGAAGGTGGCTCAGAAGCCGCCCTGCCAGAACCAGCAGGCTAAAGGTCGGCTCTCTTCTTCTGGCTATAAGGAAGCTCCACTCTGCTTTATGCCTCCTAAATAAACTCTGGACCTCCACCCACGTGCTTCCCTCTCAACTAATAGGATCCTGTGATCTGCAGGTGTCTACAGGCTTTTATCTGTGAAAGAGCTGCTCCTTAAGAAAATGTAAGGATTTTATTGCCTGATTGTAAGTTAGATGTTGGTTGTTACACTCTGGGTCCAAGAGGATCAAGATTTCAGTTTGGCTTATACAACAAATTTACATTAAACTTTGCTTTGATCCCTGAAACATTGACGCTTCCACCTCCATGCATTATAGTTGGAATGAATGACTGCAAAGCAAAACATGTCAAGTATTAAGAAAAAAAAAAAAAAAGACCATACTTAAACATGGCATCTAAAACATGATTCAGAAAACGGCGCCAAAGAATGGGGGGAGACGTTTGCACCGATGTGACAATGGCCGATATCAATATATGATAATACACTTCCTATTTCTGATGTCACCAATGCTTTTTATATTTGTATACACCATTTTGAGATGGTGAAAAAGCAAACCCAGCTAAATATATTAGGTTTAAGGAGGGTAATAGGGGCTGCTCAGTGGCGCAGTGAATAGCAAGAAGGTTCTGGGTTCAATTCCTGGCCCAGGGTCTTTCTGCATGGAGTTTGCATGTTCTCCCTGAGCATGCGTGGGTTCTCTCCGGGTACTCCGGCTTCCTCCCACAGTCCTAAAACGTGACTGTTAGGTTAATTGGCTTCTCTACAGTCCCCTTAGGTGTGAATGTGTGCGTGAATGGTTCTTTGCCATGTTTGTGTCTGTGTTGCCCTGCGATGGACTGGCGACCTGTCCATGGTGTACCCCGCCTCACGCCCATTGACTGCTGGAGACAGGCACCAGCACCCCTCACGACCCGACTTGGGATAAGCGTGCTAGAAAATGGATGGATGGGAGGAGGGTAACAATGCTTCAAAATGCAGATATGAAGCATGATGTTTCTTTTATTTCATGTTGTTTCTTTTCCATTTTGCTGTATTTCCTCTGGTTATTTTGTGAACGCCTGCCTGACTTTTTATGAGAAAATTTCACAAACGTCACTTGATGTGCTTGATGTGCTGTCGGCAGAGTCCTGGAGGATGCCCTGAAGCAAAACTGTGCCTTTTAGATGGAAGTTCCTCACTATATTAGGTCACTGTTTTTACTGTTTTTTTTTTTTTTAGTGCCTACATCTTCAGCACTTTGATTCAATCTGGTTCTCCTGTAACTGGTTGGTTCAAATTTGCCAGCCCTTCCATTTGGACAAACCTTTGAAACTTTGAGGGTAGATGGCATTTTAAAATCTTTGGTTCGAACAAACAGCAGATTTGAGTGTGAACAGTGTGTTTTTTAGTTGTTCGCTTCATTGACAGAGCAGGAGAAAAACCCACCAGATTCAGAGCTTTCCGCTGTTTGGAGCTTCTAATGGGGGAAGTTTCCTGTCTCAGATCTAATGTCATTGGGTTTAATTATGATGCCAAGACTGATAAGATTCCATTTAGGGTAAATTATGCTCAAGCAAAAAGATATTTATAGAAAAACATGTAAAGAGTGTTTTATAAAATGTAAAGCTCATATTCTTTTTCGTATTGTAATGAAGCCCTAGTTGATAATTGCATTTCCCCCCCCCCTTTTCTCCTTAGTGTGCTGTTTTGTGGTCCATAAGCGCTGTCATGAGTTTGTCACTTTTTCCTGCCCGGGGGCTGACAAGGGACCTGCGTCTGACGTAAGTAATGAAAGTTTAGAGAAACACGCACTCCTTGTAAATGTTTATTTCTTTGTTAATTGCCCTTGAAGTCAACGTAAACAAATGACTCATTTTGCAGTAGTGGTATTTAATGCGATATTAGAAGAAATGCTCAATGCTGCAAGGACAAAGTTATGTTATTTGTAAAGCAAAAGAAAATTAACAAACTCGTTCAGATAATTTTTATTCAGTGCGTTATATAAAACAAGCACATCATGTGGAAAGTAGCCCATCTCCTTGAAGATTTTCATATTTTGTCAATAACATTTAGTTTACTAACATTTTGTGTGATGTTTCATCAAAGAACAAGGCATTACAAGGCTGGGAAAAAAAAAAAGCTTTAGGTTTTCTTTAGATGAATAACTTGAAAACAGGAAATGCTTTTGTATTGAACCTCATTCGCTCTTGTACCCTTAAAATAAAATCAATTTAAATATAGAGGTACTAACTCTAGAGGATCTGCAGAGATCCACAGCTCAGGTGGGGGGATCTATTTACAGGACAATCATAATCTCTACATATCTGTTCTTTTTGATAAAAGAGTGGCAGGGATTGACATTAACACCTTCCAACCGCACTAGATGGAGGTGAATTTCAGCTGTGGCAGGAAGCACAGCCACTCAGCCACACTGACCACCTTGAATGGCTGGATTCTATAAAGATTTTCCATAGTAGTTTTCTCAAATAGCGTCTAAAATATTAAACAAATTAATTCCAGATACTACAGCACAACAGCTCCCATGAGCACAGACTTTTCACAGTGTTTACTCATTGGTCGGTTGATGAATGGTGTCACTTTAGACAGGCGATCCCTGTGGAGAACAGCTTGTAAAGTGGTGGGGGCAATAATGCCGTGGTGCATTCAAGGAGTTGGAAAGAAAATCCGACAATGGAACGAATGATAGAGAAGACAAAGAAAAATATTCCACTGTTTAACGCTAAGTGGAAAACATCAGGTGAGGAAGGATTGTTCTCTGAACCTGAAGAGAGTGTCATGCACTGCACTGACTATTTCGCCAAATTTTCTACATTTTTATTCTCATGCAGGTTTATTTTTTCTTTGTTCTCTTCTGTGTCAGTATGCACTGTAGATGAATATTAAAACTCATGTTATTAGTTTTCTTCCAGTTTACTTTTTATCTTTTAACTTGTCTATTTTCCTGCACCACTTTTAGGATTCAGTAAGAAATCACAGTTTTTTTTGTTTTTGTTTTGTTTTTTTACTTTGTTCACTGTATATTTCATATAAAAGGAGCTTCACACAGATCCTTATCGTACCCGGATAATTATTAAACATTTTATGTAGAATGTGTACAAGGGTCATTTACTTTTAAAAAGTTGTAAATCTAGTTCAACTACACTTCAGCATGGCAGCTTTAATCATATTAAATGGAAATTCTAACAACAAACTTGTGGCTGGTAACTGAAAAAATGCTTGCACTGTTAACTGGTCTTCAAAAATAATTCATGTCAAGCCCTGATTTCAGTAAAATATAAAACCACAGGAAGTCCGGTTAGTAGTTTACCATAAGTCACACAAGGGACATTTGATGTCACTGGTGAAATCAGAGCCTTGCATATTGCCAGATCCTCATTGTGAAGCGTGGTGGCAGCAACATTCTGAATATTTCTGGTTAAAATGGCTTAAATGATGTTTGAATAAAAAAAGGCCACCATTAAAGGTCCCATATTATGCAAAATTTACTTTATTAAAAAAATCCAAAAGTAATATTTGTCTATTTTCCCTTCTCTCACTGCCTTGTTCTACCTCTTAATTAATGTATGCTCAAAATGTTCTGTTTAAAAAAGCATACTCTTTATTTTTATTTATTTACTTATTTTTAACAGTGTCCTGTCTGGCAATGTGGCAATAAGAATAATTGTCTTGATGCCAAAAAGAGCCCAACAGATTTTACTTTCACAAGTGTAGCAATAGGGCTATCGCATAGTGTTCTGCTTGATTTATGTATATAAATTGCTTTATTATAATTATGCAGGGAGTTTTACAGATTATATGGACACTGTAATGTAAGTAGAATAAGAAAGGAAAAACAGAAAAGGAGAAAAGATGAAAGAAAGAGGAGATAAAAGGGAGATAACAATAAAAAGCATACCCTTTATGAGGTCATTTGGGGAAACAACAACTCCACCCCCTCTCCCTAAGCACCCATCTAGCAGGCACTATCTCTCTGCTCATTGACATAGGCTGTCTGAACGTCCACCCTAAACCCTAAATCCCTCACTCACTATATAGAGCCTGGACCATATACAGGTGCTGGTCATAAAATTAGAATATCATGAAAAAGTAGATTGATTTCAGTAATTCCATTTAAAAAGTGAAACTTGTATATTATATTCATACATTACATACAAACTCATATATTTCAGATGTTTATTTTGTTTAATTTTGATGATTACAAATGACAACAAATGAAAATCTCAAATTCATCATATCAGAAAATTAGAATATTACTGAAGACCAATAAAAACAAAGGATTTATAGAAATGTTGGCCAACTGAAAAGTATGAACATGAAAAGTATGAGCATGTACAGCACTCAGTATTTAGTTGGGCCTCCTTTGGCCTGTATTACTGCAGCAATGCGGCGTGGCATGGAGTCGATCAGTCTGTGGCACTGCTCAGGTGTTATGATAGCCCAGGTTGCTCTAATAGTGGCTTTTAGCTCTTCTGAATTGTTGGGTCTGGTGTATTGCATCTTCTTCTTCACAATACCCCATAGATTTTCTATGGGGTTAAGGTCAGGAGAGTTTGCTGGCCAATTAAGAACAGGGATACCATGGTCCTTCAACCAGGTACTGGTAGCTTTGGCACTGTGTGCAGGTGCCAAGTCCTGTTGGAAAATGAAATCTGCATCTCCAAAAAGTTGGTCAGCTGCAGGAAGCATGAAGTGCTCTAAAACTTCCTGGTATGTGGCTGCGTTGACCCTGGACCTCAGAAAACACAATGGACCAACACCAGCAGATGACATGGCACCCCAAACCATCACTGACTGTGGAAACTTTACACTGGACTTCAAGCAACGTGGATGAAGTGCCTCTCTTCTTTTCCTCCAGACTCTGGGACCTTGATTTCCAAAGGAAATGCAAAATTTACTTTCATCAGAGAACATGACTTTGGACCACTCACCAGCAGTCCAGTCCTGTTTCTCTTTAGCCCAGGCAAGACGCTTCTGAGGCTGTCTGTGGTTCAAGAGTGGCTTGACACAAGGAATGCGACAGCAGAAACCCATGTCTTTCATACGTCTGTGTGTGGTGGTTCTTGAAGCACTCACTCCAGCTGCAGTCCACTCTTTGTGAATCTCCCCCACATTTTTGAATGGGTTTTGTTTCACAATCCTCTCCAGGGTGCGGTTATCTCTCTTGCTTGTACACTTTTTTCGACCACATCTTTTCCTTCCCTTCGCCTCTCTATTAATGTGCTTGGACACTGAGCTCTGTGAACAGCCAGCCTCTTTAGCGATGACCTTTTGTGTCTTGCCCTCCTTGTGCAAGGTGTCGATGGTCGTCTTTTGGACAACTGTCAAGTCAGCAGTCTTCCCCATGATTGTGTAGCCTATAGAACTAGACTGAAAGACCATTTAAAGGCTTTTGCAGGTGGTTTGAGTTAATTAGCTGATTAGAGTGTGGCACCAGGGGCCATCAATTTTGAACCTTTTCACAATATTCTAATT